TATTTTTAGTAGAGACAGGGTTTCACCATATTGGTCAGGCCAGTCTCCAACTCCTGACCTCAGGCGATCCACCCGCTGTGGCCTCCCAAAGTGCTAGGATTACAGCCATGAGCCACTGTGCCCAGCTGAAGTTCATCCATATTGTTACAAACAGCAGGACCTCCTTCTTTCTTAAGGTTGAATAATATATCATTATATATATGTTTCTTTACTTACCCATCTGTTGGTGGATCCATCTGGGTTCAAGTGATCCACCTGCCTCAGCCTCCCAAAGTGCTGTGATTACAGGCATGAGCCACCATACCTGGCCCCAACTTAGGTTGTTTCTGTATCTTGATTATTGAAACATAAGAGTGCAGATATCTCTTTGAGATACTGATTTCGTTTAATTTGGATATATACCAAGGAGTGGGATTGCTGGATCGTATGATAGTCCTTTTTAAATTTTTTCAGAAACTTCCATTCTGTTTTTCATAACGGCTGAACCAGTTTACATTTCCACCACATTGTACAAGGGTTACCTTTTCTCCACATCTTCAGAAATGCTCGTTATCTTGTGTCTCTTTTTTTATAGCTCTTCTAAGATGTGAAGTGATATCTCCTTGCGATTTTTGTTTGCATTTTTCTGTGACTGGTGATGTTGAGCACCTTTTAACATACCCACGGGCCATTTATGTCTTCTTTGGAAAAATGTCTAGAAATGCAGGTTCTTTACTCATTTTTAAACTGGTTATTTGTTTTGTTGTTTTCAAGTTGGGACTACATTTAATCAAAAAGGCAAAAGATCTGTATGCTGAAAACTATAAAGCATTGAAGAAAGAAAAAGAAGAAGACACAAATAAATGGAAAAATATCCCATACTCATGGATTGGAAGAATTAAAATGTTTAATATGTCCATACTACTAAAACCAATCTACAGATTCTATACAATCTCTATCAAAATTCCAATGGCATTTTTCACAGAAGTAGTATAAGCAATTCTAAAATTCAAATGGAAACACAAAATATCCCAAATAGACAAATCAATCTTGAGAACACGGTTGGAGGCATCACACTTCTGATTTCAAATTATATTCCAACGCTATAGTAATCAAAACATTTTATGTCTGACATAAAAACAAACACATAGACCAATGGAATAGAATGGAGAGCCCAGAAATTAAACCTACGCATATATGTCCAACTGATCTTCAACAAGAGAACCGAGAATACTCAGTGGGGAAAGGATAGTCTTTTCAATAAATGTCTTAGGGAAAACTGGATATTCACATGTAAAAAAAATGAAATTGGACCCTCATCTTATACCATATACAAAAATCAACTCAAAATGCGTTAAAAACTGAAATGTAAGACCTGAAACCATAACCCTTGTAAGAAACATAGAGGGTGGCCGGGTGAGGTGGCTCATACCTGTAATCCCAGCACTTTGGGAGGCTGAGGCAGGTGGATCACTTGAGGTCCAGAGATCGAGACCAGCCTGGCCAACACGGTGAAGCCTGTCTTTACTAAAAATACAAAAATTTAGCCGAGTGTGGTGGCACATGCCTGTAGTCCCAGCAACTTGGGAGGCTGAGGCAGGAGAATCGCTTGAACCTGGGAGGTGGAGGTTGCAGTGAGCCGAGATTGTGCCACTGCACTCTAGCCTGGGTGACAGAGTGAGACTCGGTCAAAAAAAAAAAAGAGGAAGTGTGACCTGAGTTATCACACACAGCTCCCTCATTATTTGATGCCGTATGCTGTCTCAGGACTCTGCAGAGAGTCCTCATCAACAAGAAGACACTCGCCAGATGCAGCCCCTTGGCCTTGGACTTCCCAGTCTCCATAACTATATGAAATAAATTCTTTTTCAGTTTCAGGTATTCTGTTATAAGCAACAAGAAATGGACTAAGATGCCATATATCTGGTAAGAGGCAAATTTCCAAAATATATGAAAGTCTTCATTTAGAAGGTATGGAGAACAAGGTACAGGGAATGTGAGGCATAGGCACACAAATATTTCTGGGTTTATTACAGAGGGTACTTGGAATAGGAATTTCTCTGAGGGTGATAAGTGTGCTTAAGGGAGAAGTTCATCACAGAACATAAATCATGCTGATTCTGATCCTCCACATCTTGTATCATCTGTCTTCATGATACAAGCAATGCTGTAGGGCAGAGAGACAGCATCTGTGTGCTGACACCCCTCATGGGCACAAGGAGAGTTTACACCTAGGTCACTGCGCTGCCTCTGAGCTCTCTCTCCCATCCAAATATTTCTCACACTTACTTATGTCCCCACTTAATCCTATCCATCCAAATATTTCTCACACATACTTAATACCATTATGTGCTGCATAATGATGATGGACCACATATTTAACCATGGTCCCATAAGATTATAATGGAGCTGAAAAATTTCTGTCATGTAGTGACATCATAGCTGTCCAACATCATAGCTTAACACATTACTCACATGTTTGTGGTGATGAAACCATCCATAGAAATTTTATAAATTCAATCAGGGAAGAAGGAAGAGGGATAAATGAAAATAAACTAAGCTTGCAGCACATTCAGCATTAATCATTAGGTCAGCTTGCTCTCTGACCTGCTTCCTCATAGTTTTTTGCTGTCTATTGCCCCAGAATCATGCAGAGCCTAGATTGTAGTTCTCCTTAACTGCTCTATAGACAACAACTTGAACATTGTGAAACATTATGTTTTTCATTTGAGATATTTTTTCAGGTCCTGTATATCAGTGAAACTACTGATGTCAGCTAGTCCGAAAGAACTGACTCACTAAAGAATTCAGTCCCTACATCCTGATGGTTTCATCAGCTTTACCCCAACCAATCATCAATTACCTCAATTTTCCAGTCTCTTGCCCTCCATGATCCCCTTAAAACTTCAGCCCAAAATTCCTCAGGGAGATAGATTTGAGGGTTTCTCATATCTCCTCACTCAGCTGCCCTGCAATCATTAAACTCTTTCTCTGCTGCAAACCCTGCTGTCTTGGCATATTGATCTGTTGCTGCACAGTGGGCATATGAACCTGTTGGTCCTGTAACAGTAATGCTGGCATAAACAAACCTACTGCACTGCCAGTCCTATAAAAGTATACAGCAATGTCCTGGGCCTTCACATTCACTCACCACTCACTCACTGACTCACCCAGAACAACTTCCAGTCCTGCAAGCTCCATTCATGCTAAGTGCCTTATACAAGTATACTATTTTTCTTAATCTTTTATACCATATTTTTACTATATATTTTTTATGTTTAGGTATGTTTAAATACATAAATACTTAGCATGTGTTACAATTGCTCACAGTATTCAGCACACTAACACACTGTGCAGATTTGTAGATTAGGAGCAATAGGCTATTCCTTTCAGCCTAGATGTGTAGGAGGCTATATCATCTAGGCTTATGTAAGTACTCTCTAAGATGTTTGCACAATGATGAGGTCACCTAACACACATTTCTCAGCACATATCCCTGTCATTAAGTGACACATGATTGTATCAGGAAAATCCAATCTCTCTATACCCTGGAGGGTGGAGGCCACTTTTCGCCAGTGGGAAAATTGAGATCTGAGTGTGAAAATACTGTAGGAAAGAGACCGTAAGATTGCTTTCCAGAGGGACTTGACTTCCTTATTCCATTTTAACTTCAACCTCCTCTTTTAGTATATACAAGTGTGGCATATACTGGCTAGCAATTCATAGAATTCATTTCTTTTTCTTCTTTTGTTTGCCATCCTACCTTGCAGTTAGATGCAGGCTTGCAACTGAGTCCTAGCCAATGGAGTGTGAAGGAAGTGATATATATTACTCTCTGTTCTTATCTATAAAATCCTCCCTCACATACTTTTCTATGTTACTTTTCTTTCTTCTGGCTTAATACAGAGTATCCCAGCTTAGTTAAAAGTCATATTTTGTTGAGGATGGAAGAGCTCCAAGATGTAAGGGACAGATTTCCTGGATTACTCATTGTAGGAGGCTTATACGCAGATCGTGAACACTCATTTTGGACTATGCATGAATATAAAAATAAATTAATTTTTTAAAATTAAGGAATGGAAATTACTGCATTTGTTTGTTAGTGCAGCTAGTTCATCCAAGTTAATGCAAAGTTAGTACATAACCCTTATAGAAAAATCTGGAAAAATACAGAATCCAAAAATGAGAGGAAAAGAAACACTTGCAGTCCCATAACCTGATGATAACCACTGTTAACATTTTGTTGTAGAAACCCAGCTTTAGGAAGACAGGGTGATGAAATGGAAAAACAAAATTGACTGGAAATTAAGAGATCAGGGTTCTGGTCCCAGTTTTCTCTTAATTAGCAAAGCCTTTATTTCTGTTAGAGAAAGGAAAGACTTCGACATGTATTCTCTAAATTGAGAGAGAGAACGGGGTTGTTGCATAGAAAGGGAGTATTTATTACTCCACAATTGTCTTTTTTTAGCTAGTGGTCAAAACATTCAGAAAACTTCAAAGAGCTGCATGCTCAGGGAGAGGAGGTACAAGGGAAGCTGTGGGTGTGACGTTGTGATGGAGTGGACCAAGGAGGAGAAATGCTTGGGATTCTCTTTGGTTCTTGCCTGTGCTCTGGGAAATCACTGAACTGCCCTAAGGAAAATTGTCCCCTGGTGCAGTGAACTCCAGTGCTCCCATAAGTGTTTACCATCAGCAAAGAACCAGCGCCTGCTTCTGAGTAACCTAGTTCTACCTAGAATGGACTGCAGGCATGCAGGTGGGCTGAATTTGTTCACTAGTAATATTACTTCTACTGCCTTTGGGAAGTGGGTCTAGGGACACAGTAGATGTGGGGGACAAACAAATACCATTCATCTTCTGGCTACCCTATGTAACTCCTGACAACTGGAACAGGGATGTCGACAGTCAGAGGAGGAGGAGGAGGGCAGAAGTGTGCACTGGAACACCAGATGTTTGAGGCTGAAAATTATATGGATGCAGAATAAATAACCCCAAAATAACCTTCTATCTGTGGTGTCCAGTCCCCCTCCTTGGCCAGGCATCAAAGCTATGTGTTGTTCGTTTAAAACATGAACATCCTGATCCCAGGACTTTGAAGATAGGAATCACCCATCCCAAACCAGACACACTGCCCACAGTAGCTGAGAAAGAAGCCAAAGGTGGTGAATGATTAGCAGAACTGCCAGACAGCTCCAGAGTCTGGACACAGAGTACCAGGAAAGCTGTTTCGTGGGGGAAACTCAGACTGATCAAAAGAGCCGAGGAAGTCCTTTGTGGCCTGTCTACTTCGTGGTGAGACTCCCCCAACGTCTGTCTCCCCGATGCACCATCCCACAGTCCCAAGGGGCCCCAGGCACAGCCTTTACCACTGTGTCTAGCATCATGAAATGCTCCAGTGAGCAAGAAGGTCCTCAGGAATCCAGTAAATATGAATTTACTAGTTGTGGTGACGTAATCTTGTCCTCACAGAGCTTACGATATCGCTAAAAGTGTAGTATACATACTCACACGCTACGTATACAAACCTATATTAAAGAATTATTTAGAATTACAGAGTTTCATGGTGAGTGATGTGTAGAATGCATTTTAGAGGATTTCAATAACAAGACTTGTTTGTGGGGAAGGTACAAGGAATCATCTCTAGACTCGTCATAGAAAACTGCCTTTTACTACGTTTTACTGTAAGATTCTTTCAAAATCACCTTTTAAATTTGTCCTTCTTTGGTTGCTTAAGTTTTCCTCACTGTGTTTGTCATTGTTAAAGTTTATAACTCATTTTATTTCATTAGGAAATAGCTCTAGGAGAGGGAAGACCAGCTGCCTTCATCAGGAATTCACAGGTGGCATTTCTATGGGGAATCAGCACAAGGTCAGAGTCCAGGCCTCATCTGTCCAGACTTTTTTCTTAATAGTTCAAACATGGGTGAGCTACTGTAGTAGCACAAACAGAGAAATGTTTTGTTTGCAACTTTAGAACCACCTTCCACCTTTGCCCACCCTCTATGTCTCTGGAGGCCGCACTTTATGGATGGCAATAACCACCTTCTTCACATTCTGGCTTCTGGTTGGATTTGTTAAAGGAAGGCACAGGAAGGAGGAAGGAGGGAGGTGAGCAGGAGGAGAATGGGTCTGACATATTCGTTCCCAGGTAGCCTCTCTGCTGAGTGCAAAGGTTGTTTGCATCACCTACAGAGGGCCCCAGCTCCAGCAGGAGGCCAGCTCCTATAGCTAGAGCTACCCCTCAGGTCTGGTCAGCTGCTTCCCTGTGCCTAGGTGTGGTTAGTGGCTCTTCACTGTCGCTAACTCTTGGATATGTTAGCTTTCCTGCCAACAGTGTTTTAAGTGACTCCTTTAGTTAACACGTAACAGTTTTACCCCATTTGAGTGTGCAATTCTAGATCAATGATTGATAGAGTAACAGATATCAAGAGTGGCCTCAGGAGTGGCCCTGAAGATAGAATTCTGGGACTAGGTTGCTCTCACACTTAGAAATGCATGGATAACCTCCTTGCCAGGGAAAAGGAGACATTTCCTTTCTAAGTTATGGTGGCATCACAATCACACCATTATTGCATGGACTGAAGTGCAAGTGGAGGACAAGGGGTTGGGAGAGGAAGTGACTTTGGCAAATTGGTAAGATGATGACAATAGTGATTATAAAAATTTGGGGTCAGCTAACTCCTTTTGGTGCCCTGGAGCTGCACTGTCCAGTCTGGTAGCCACTAACCACACGTGGCTATTTACATTAAAATTAAGATTAATTAAAATTAAATAAAATTTAAAATTTAGTTCTTCAGTCACACTAGCCACATTTCAAGTGCTCAAAAACCGCATGTGGCTAGTGACTGCTATATTATAGGGCAGCACAGGTAGAGAACACTTTTATCCATGCAGAAGGTTGTATTGGACAGTGCTGCCCAAGAGAGCGTACGGAGTGAAAAGAAAAATTGAAGGCCTTAAATACTCAATTCAGAAGATGGGTGGAAAATGAAAGCACTGTTATGCCAACTTTGAAGGAATCCCTCATTTCTTCTAGTTTCATGGCAGATATGGCAAAGATGACATCAAGCGCTGGATTGTATGACTTGCACAGTGGCAGAGCCAATTAAATGCTTGCCCCTGCCAGTCTCTAAGACTAAAAGGGCACTGGTGGGAGAAAGAGGGAGATCCTGAGATATGAGAGGGAGAAAGAGGTGAGGCTGAAAACTTTGGGTTTTTTGGTTTTGTTTTGTTTTGTTTTTTGAGACAGGGTCTCACTGTTACCCAGGCTGGAGTGCAGTGGCACAACCTCAGTTCACTGCAACTTCCACCTCCCAGGCTCAAGTGATCCTCTCACCTCAGCCTCCCGAGTTGCTGGGACTACAGGCCCACACCACCATGCCTAGCTAATTTTTGTATTTTTAGTAGAGATGGGGTTTCACCATGTTGGCCAGGCTGGTCTCGAACTCCTGACCTCAAGCAATCTGCCTGCTTTGGCCTCCCAAAATGCTGGGATTACAGGTGTAAGCCACTGCGCCTGGGCAGGCTGAAAACTTTGAACTCCCCAATTCCGTATGACCTACTATTTTGATTGAGGAAACCCCTCTTCCCACCAGAGAGGGCACCTTCCTCTGTATAAACACCTTTCAATGACTGCACCTGGGAGAATGCCATCCCCATGGGATGCTGACTTCTGTAGGATCCACTCCCACTTCTCTAAGTACCTCCGGGATCATAACAACAGTAGGTCCCAGGTAAGGATGTACAAGACCTGGTCTGAGGTGGGAGAGGAAACTGACACACTACAATAATTATGAGGCTTTACCAATCAGTTTTGGCCAGAGTTTGGGGAGCACGGCTATGAATGAATCCTAAAGCTATTTAACCATCTAAAGTAAAATTGAAGAGCTGACTTAACCACATTTCTCAATATGAGTTTACTTCCTTGAGATTCTGAATTTAATATGTTGGCTTGAGCAAATAGAAGTAGTACATACAGTCCGCTAGGTTGGCCAGTTGAAACCTGGACTCAGTGGTGGCCTACAGTCAGTGGAATTGACATTTTGGAATGTCCCTGGCAAACATTAGAGAAGCACTGCCAAACAGAACTTTCTATTTCTATGATGGAATGTTCTGTAGCTTGTGCTGTCCAGCACAATAACTTCCAGCCACCTGTGGCTATTGAGTACTTCAAATGTGGCCAGAACAACTAAGACACTGAATTTTGAATTTTACTTTACTTTAATTAATTAAATTTAGCACTTGGGGCTAGCGGCTACTATATTGGATAGTGCCACTTTAAGAAGTCTGAAGGCTCAGGGGAATTGACAATGTGGGATGAACCTATAAGGGGCAACTAGCTCAGCTACCCCTTACTCATAATCCCTGGAGGGTTTGGAGGAGACTTCCTTTTTCTCCTGATTCTACTCTGGCTGCAATCTAGAGTCTCTGACATATGGAGTTACAATTCACTTCTTACTAGTTTTTCCAGGTTTATTTTTATTTTCTCTTTAACACAAAAGTTATCTAGAAGAATGTCTTAATTTCCAAATATATTGTTTTGTTTCCTTTTACCATTCTTTTTATGTTGATGCTATTTCTGCTTTGAGTGGAGTGGGGGAGAGCAAGGGGATGTATTTTTTTCTTTATAAATGTTCCTTGAGCAGTGTTCAAATCTTCAAAATAATTAATTCAAATCTTTAAAATTAATTCAAACACAATTAATTTTTATTAATTTTATATATGATATGATTATTTCTGAAACGAATGTATTATGTTATTTGACCATGGCTCTGTATTATTTCTCTTTATTTCTATCAGCATTTATTTAGTGCATATGTTTATATATACAAAAATATAATGCCACATTGTCAATGCATTAAGATTCATAACTGTTTTATCTTCTTGGTGAATTGAATACAATTGAAAGAAAAATTTCTTTGCCCCTCTTAATTGTTAATGCTTCTCATTTCATTTTCTTTTGTCAGATATTAGCATTATAGCATGTGCTTTCTTTTATTATTTATCTAGTATACTTTAATGCCTGTTTTTCAGCCTTTTTGTGCCCCCTTAGTTTAAGAATATGTCTTTTAAATACTATATAGTTTAACACTATAGTTTAGGGTATTCAGAAGATCTGTGTTACTTTGACAAAGGAATTTAAGATACTTAAATTTAATGTGATCATTAATGTATTTAGACTTACTGATATATTTCGGACCCCAGTTCTTCCTTTAAAAAGAATTCCATAAGAATGAGTAACTTACACTTACTAGAATTAAAATTTCCCCTAAAAAAAGATAAGTGTGTTAGAATGGAATATTAGAGAAGCCTGAGATTGGGGACAATTTACCATATTTCTGTGTTCTCCAGCTTTCCTCACTCCTCCAGCTCCAGCTTTGTCAAACTTTACAAACAATCCCATTGGATCTTAAGAGCCTTGACATGCAATAGAGGCATGTCACAGGCAAAGATGTCCTTGGTTTCTCGTAGCACCAATAGTTTGTGTGAAGCCCCTACTCTTTTGTTCCTCAAATAAATGAATTTTATATATGAGATTTAATTAACATCAAGGCCTCACCTCACTGGTATCTCACTCAGAGCAGCACCATCTAATGCAGCAGTTATTGGCTAGTGTCTTTTCTTCCTGTTAAGAAGGACAAGGTGTAATTCCAGCACTTTGGGAGGCCGATGCAGGCAGGTCATGAGGTCAGGAGATCAAGACCATCCTGGCTAACACAATGAAACCCCATCTCTACTAAAAATACAAAAAAATTAGCCGGGTGTGGTGGTGGGCACCTGTAGTCCCAGCTACTCAGGAGGCTGAGGCAGGAGAATGGCGTGAACCCAGGAGGCGGAGCTTGCAGTGAGCAGAGGTCGCACCACTGCACTCCAGCCTGGGTGACAGAGCGAGACTCTGTCTCAAAAGAAAAGAAAGAAAAGGACATTATGAGATACCCTAACAAGCAACACAGTGAGGCGTTTAATGGTACAGACTCTAGGACTACTCTGCCATGGTGGGAGCCTCACCTTTGTCATGTTTTCTGCCATTCAGTAGTTACAAGAGCTCAAGCCAATAGCTTAACTTCTGTCACTTCAGAGGGTTACTGTTACTGTATGGATTAGAAAACATAATTTATGTAAAAATACTCAGCACAATCCTTGTAATAACTCAGAAAATGGTAGCTAATATTAATAATTGGTATCTTAGTCCTTTTCCAGGACTCTCAATGAGACTTTTTACAAAAATTGTCGTTTCTTTCTTTCTTTTCTTCCTCTTCCTCTTCCTCTTCTTCTTCTTCTTTTTTTTTTTTTTTTTTTTTTTTTTTTTTTGAGACAGGTTCTCACTGTGTCACCCAGGCTGGAGTGCAGTGGCACAATCAGCTCACTGCAACCTCTGACTCCTGGATTCAAGTGATTATCCTGCCTCAGTCTCCCGAGTAGCTGGGACTACAAGCGTGCGCCACCATGCCTGGCTAATTTTTGTATTTTTGCTAGAGATGGGGTTTCACCGTGTTGTCCAGGTGGGTCTCGAACTCCTGACCTGAAGTGATCAGCCCGCCTCGGCCTCCCAAAGGGCTGAGATTACAGGTGTGAGCCACTGCACCTGGCCTGTTATTTCTTTAATACCTCAAGAATGAGAACTGAGGAGCTCCTTGAATACTTAAAATTTCTCTATAAAGAGACATAATTGGCTTCCCTTGATATTCTCAGCATCCCCCAAGCTGACTGAAGATATCAGTCCATGAACAGAGGGCCTGAGGTTTAAACAGGTGCCATATTTGCTGGCCTCATACTCAGAACCTCTGCCCTATTTTTACCTGTTTTGTCTGCAGTTGCTGCATTAAGACCTGGACTTAATGAAATATTTGGTTCTGGATCTTTTCATGTCCCAAATTAACTTTAATGAGCAAATAGGGAAAGATCAAGAGAGCTGCGGCTGGGACTTAGGAGAAACTTTGAAGCAGAAGCCAGGATGGGGTAGATGCCCTCTGGCAACTGGCCAGCGTTTGCTTTTGATGACAGCGAACCCTCAGATCTAGTTCATCTGAGCTGCAAACAAGGGGCTGTGGTACCAGCATACCTGAGATTTCATCTTTTGCAATGCCTCTGTGTTTCTCATGCAACAAACATGTGTCAAACACCTACAGTGAACAAGAAACTTCTCTAATGCTCCTATGAAATTCTTTGGGTCATACCTAGTTGAATAAGACACTGTCACTGTTCTTAAGGATTTCACATTCTAGGAGAGGAAATAAGATGTACACAGGTGGCCACATTAGGAGAAGACTGTGACACGTCATAAAAGAGGTACAAAGTCCCATCTGATAGAGGAAGATGCGCTTGCTTCCACCTTGGAGTCATCTGAAATGGCCAGATGCAAGAGTTAGATGAGAGCTGCCCTTTTAAGAATAATGGGGATTGGGTGCAGTGGCTGACACCTGTAATCTCAGCACTTTGGGAGGCTGGGGCAGGAGGATCACTTGAACCCATGAGTTTGAGACCAACGGGGCAACATAGTGAGATCTTCTCTCTACAAAAAATAAATAAAAAATTAGCGGGGTGAGCGTGGTGATGCACGCCTGTAGTCCCAGGTACTTGGAAGGCTAAGGCAGGAGGATCACTTGAGCCCAGGAGGTTGAGGTCGAACCGTGATCACACCACTGCACACCAGCCAGAGCAATGGAGCAAGACTCTATGTCAAAAACAAACAAACAAAAAAAATAGTAGCCCTTTAGGTGGAACACACAGTGTGAGCACAGGCAGGAAAGACCAGAGAATGTTCTGGGGGAAGCAAGTTGTACTCACCCTGTTTCTTCCATCTGTGTTTTCATGGGAAAATCTCCCAATCAATTTGAGCCTCATTTTCCCTATAAGTTAAATGAAGCTAGTTCCATCCACTCCTCAGAATTGTAAAGGTCAAATGATTTGTATTGTAATAGGCTAGGGAGTTAGATCATTGTATGTGCTCAAATAATGGTGGTTACTGTCTCTCACATCTATTTCTGTTTCTCCTTCTTTATTCTAGTCCTCAAGCTGGTAAGAAGCAGATCTCTGAGACTTTCTACTGGGATATGGAGTTTTGGGGCAAAAAGGAGAATGGAGATCAACACTGATATTTATTTATTCATTTTTAAATATACACTTTCAGGTAGAAGTTGAGAAGTATTGATCTTTAACTAAGGAGGGTTGGGATTGCCAAAGGCAGCCCCCAGCAGGGGCAGTTCCCTTCTGTCATAAAAGACCTTAGCGTCCTGGGGAGAATGAGTTCCGGACTGGAACCTCCAGGCTGAATGCCCCCACTGTTCCCCTCCTTGTTATAACCTCCTGGGTGGTGTGATCTTTTTTTCCCAGTGTCCTGCCACATCCACATCCCCAAAGAACTCTTTTTTCAAAAACATTTCTTTCCCTGCCTCCCCAGTCTGAAGATATTCCCAGCAAGTTTAAGAATTCATCAGATGCTCTGTTCTTGGCAGCACTGGTCTTCTGGGCATGGCTCGGGAGCAGCAGACCTCCTTTGGAGCTGTACCTTGTCATTTTCCATTTTTGGAATTCATTTCAACAAACATTTGGAACAAGATCTTCACAGTAGCCAACCCTCTTGTCTCTGAGTTTCAGCAGAAGCTAGTAATGAAAGTGTTGGTGGAAAGTCCCACCGTCATTCCAAGGCGTGGTGCTGGAGCGCCTATACAGGAGGTTGAAATGGAGGCGAGAGTCAATGCCGCCATTAGTCTTTGGTCATCCCCAGCTTTAGCCTATGTAAGGAATAGAGGTTGGCAAGAGGTTGACAAAGGAGATTTCTCTGCAAAGAACTATCAGTGTCCTGTGCACTCTCTGCAGCCCACCCTTCCCCTGATAGTGGGAAAGATGAAGGATACCCACCCCTGCCCTTCAGCCATGTGAGGAAGGCTTCAAGGATGCTGTGTGGAGAACAGGTGTGTGTTCTTCGGGGTCTGAGGGACCGAGAGGCTGTGTCTGACCCTCACGTGGGGCTGGGCCTGCCTGGTCAGAGGGAGGAGGGGCTCAGAGTGGGAGTTGGGCCCACACCCACTGATGGGAGAAGGGCAGTGGCAGTTGTCTGTAGGGTGTACGTATGAACCCCAGGAAAGCCAGCCGCACTGGGATCTTCTTCATGGGTTCTTCCCCCAGAAGACATCCTGGAGGGATAAAAGGGACCTTTGGAGGTAGAGGAGGAGTAGATGTCTCCTTCTTCTATTTCACTGTCTGGAAGAGGGGCATTGTAGACATCCAGGGTGCCTCAGTGCTTGATCTCAGGATCTCTGCAGCAGCCACAGAGACACCTCTGGAGACAGATGACTCAGAGGACATAAGCAAATCCATCAGCCACAGAAGACAGTGCTGTTTCCCCAGTCTGTCCTCCCTGGGTCCCGGGGGAGCAGGATAACAGAGGGCAGTTACAGAGTGGGTAGGAGGTGAAGCCAGGAAGAGAGAAGCTGACCAAGGCCCTGTCACAGCCACCTCCAACCTCTGCAGACTCCTCAGCCTGAAGCAGCCCAGCAAGGAGAAGGGGAGTATTAAGTTGGAAAGATGTTTATAGTTTAGATATTACCTTGAATTGGGATGAATTATTTGATGACTATACTGGACTGGGCCTTTGTTATCTGAGTGACTGAGGTTTTTGTCCAAGAGCAAAGAAAATCAGTTCCACAGGGCAGGTTTACAGGGGGCTGAGGCAAGAAAGATAAACTGCTTCCAGCTTGCACTGGGATGGGTTGAGCTCATTTCGTTAGCCACAGCTTGTGTCATCTACCATACCTTTCGGAGCTGTCTGAGCCACAAAGACAAGACCCAATACCTGCAATTTAGGAGCTAGTAGAGAACAGTGACAACTTTAATAAAAGGCGCACCCTCGGGGAGAAAAGAATTTTGGGAAAAGACTAGGAGTTTACTTGGGGGCATTTAAAGTTTGAGGTGTTCAGAATAGTAGGAGTGATAAAAAAAAAATTAAAATAAAAAATTTGAGATGCCTGAATGATGTTTAAGTATTAATAGCTGTAGCTGGTTATAAAAGTCTGGAGTTCAAGGAAAGGTCAGGAGGAGAGTATAGATAGATTTGGGAGTTAGCATATAGTTCTGGTGATTTTCAGTGGAGTAGGTATGAAGAGCGATGAAGAAACTGAGATTCTTCTCCAATCTGCATGCTAACAAGTTAGCCTGCCACAGGTTCATTAATGCTGCAGAAGATGTAAGACTCTCAGCTCACAGACCGAGGGCTTTACTGCAGCAACAGCAGGAACCAGAGTATCTGCAGTTTGCTATCCCAGATCCCAGGGTCTCAATTCCTCAAGCAGCATGAAGAGTGCAGATGTCCGCACATGCAGTAAGTCGCATTAGAGGAGAGGACCCCAGGCTTAGGAGGCCTGAACCTTTTCCAATGAGCAAGAAACATACCTACCTTTTGCTCCAATGGCTCCACTCTTTCCATGTCCCAACGCTTTTTGCTATACAGTTATCCTTGAAAAGACAGTCCAGAATAAAGTCAGTCAGTGGCCCTGCTCATGAGCCATGCAGAAATGAGACAGATCTGTGGGAAATTGTCTCTCAACAAAGTATTACCTTCCTGAGGGGCACTGTGGAAATTTTAAAGGGCATTTTTGATTTTCACAATAACTGACAGTGCCACTGTCATTTCATGGGCCAGGGTCAGGTATATTAGATATTCCACAATGTATGAGAGAGTATCAAGCAAAATGAATTATCTCATGCCCCACACAAGTTTTGAATGTTCTGGTAAGCATTTACTTAAGTGGGGAAAACAAAAACTCTGTAATTTTTTTTAATGTTCTGTTTTTTGAGACAGGGTCTCACTCTGTCGCCCAGGCTGGAGTGGAGTGGTGCAATCTCAGTTCACTGCAACCTCCATCTCCCAGGTTCAAGCGATCTTCCCACCTCAGCCTTCCTAGTAGCTGGTACTACAGGTGTGCACCATCATGCCTGGCTAATTTGTGTATTTTTTGGTAGAAACTGGGTTTTGCCATATTGGCCAGGCTGGTCTTGAATACCTGACCTCAAGTGATCAACCCTCCTCGGCTGCCAACATGCTGGGTTTACAGGCAAAACACTTGTAATTTCTGAGCCTACACCCTGTCTCCACTGTACAAAGTATTCTTATTACATCTTAATATACACTTAAAATTAAATCATTTAAATCAAAGAAACATTGTACTTTGTTTTGTTCAGAATTCTATCAAAAGTTATTCAACACTGGGGAAAAAATACATTGCTAGCAACAATACCAGTTGTTTGAATCACCACACTTGTATCAGACTCCAATTATAGCTGATATAATTATAGTGATTTTGTGTATATATATATATAAATGTATGGGCGCGGTGGCTCAAGCCCGTAATCCCAGCACTTTGGGAGGCCGAGACGGGCAGATCACGAGGTCAGGAGATCGAGACCATCCTGGCTAACATGGTGAAACCCCATCTCTACTAAAAATACAAAAAACTAGCCGGGTGAGGTGGTGGGCACCTGTAGTCCCAGCTACTCGGGAGGCTGAGGCAGGAGAATGGCATAAACCCGGGAGGCGGAGCTTGCAGTGAGCTGAGATCTGGCCACTGTACTCCAGCCTGGGCGACAGAGCAAGACTCTGTCTCAAAAAAAAAAAAAAAAAAAGTACTTATTCAGCCTTTAGTTCATAAGGTGAAATATAAAGAAAAATATTTTCTTGAACATTATCTTACTTCTCTTAAATAACACTTCTTCATTAAAATAACATGTTGTCAGATGCTTGTATCAAATATTGTTGAGAGGTTAATGAAGAAGAGGATTAAAAATTGACCACTGGATTTAGCAGTGTAGAAATCATTACCAACTTTGAACAATTTCAGTGGAGAGGAGGGGTCAAGACTCTGTTTGAAGTTGGTTCAAACAGCATGGAAAGACAGGAATTGAGAAATGACTATAAATGGCATATCTGAGATTTCCTGTAAAGAGGAGCAGAGAAACAAGGCGGTATGCAAGGCAGTTGGTGCCTAGCACATAAAAAAAGCTCAATAAATGTTGTCCAAAGAGGAGCTCCATGACCCATGGGAGGTGTCCAGTAACTGTAGGCCTACTGAATAAGTGTTAGTAAAAAGGACTGCAGGGATAGGAGCATCGTTTCATTTGGGTTTTAAAAGAAATGATGATGTTAGAGGAGGAACATAGAGGTGAAAGGGTGTGTTAAGCATAAGCCAAAGCATAGAGATGGGAGGGAGAGGGGTTTGGGGAGGAGCAGTTTGCCTGCCAAAGTTGCAGGGGGAAGAGGGGTTGATATAAGGGGCGGTGAAGGGGTGGGAGGACCAGAAGGCTTGAATAGAGGGACCCGGAGACACAGCTGACAGAAGACCTTGAAGGCCCAATTGTGGCGTTTATGTTGGGTCTGATCAATAACAAACAAGCCAGAGGTCTCGAGCAGTCAGGGACATAATGAGAATGTAGCAGTAGTTCTATTTTTCTGTGCTGTGCTTCTGTTCCAAGTGTTGAAAAGGGGCAGGTTACAACTGACACTCTGGACAATCTAATGAGAAGTGCATGTTTTTATGCTAACTCCAACCTTCAGTTTCTTCTCTGAGTTAGGGCAATCTTGAGAGTAAAATCCTGGAGATAAAGAGTAATAGGAAATAGAAACTCGCTTTAGGCATTTAAGGGTGGGCTGGGGAGAAAGGGTCCTCCTGAATGAGTGTATTGGATGCTGGCTTTACAACATACTGTGCAGAAAGCCAGGCACCATCCTTTCACCTGGCTGTCAGCAGCAAGCTCTGTTTTCTTAGACAGGGGCATGTATGCCTTAATGGTCCTCTCCCATTTCCATGGATCCGGGTGAACACACAGTGAAAACTCAGACCTAATTGAGTAACTTAGAGGCACAGTAATTCATCTTGTCACATATGATATTGAGATTGGCCAGACGCGTTGGCGAAGTCCATTTACCCAGAGAATAGAGTGGTAAGGATGGGTCCGAGAGACAGTGAGTATGGCATGCCACAAGCAAACCAGGCTTTGGCCCCAGCTGGACCTGGCTTTGAATCCCAATTCCATCTCCTGGCTGCATGGCCTTTGACAAGTTGTTGAGCCTCAATCACTTTGCATGTCAAATAAGAATGATGCTGATTATGAGGATTAACTATCTACAGTGTTTGTTGCATAAGAAGAATGTTTATCACCAATGCTGAGTTTTAAAAATATCATCCTGTTCAGGCCAGTCGGTAACTGAAGGAGCAAGTGGAGAACTGCGGGAGAAACAGTGATGTTTTCTGGCCCAAGCTTGCCAATTCTGCCTGGTGAAGTCCACTCAGCTGCAGATGATAGTCTACTCTTTGACAATCCTATTTTGTTCATATGGTCCAGGTTATCAGGAAATCTCTAACAGGAGGATGCCATCATTTCGGAATTCTTCAGACTATGACTCAATATTCTTTTTGATCTTGGGGATTCTGTTTGAACTTTTAGATTCAGGGGTATATGTGCAGGTTTGTTACATGGGTATATTGTGTGACACTGAGGTTTAGGGTACGAACGATCCTGTCACCCAGGGAGTGAGCGTAGCACCCAATAGGTAGTTTTTCAGCCTTTGTCTC